ACTGTACATTGTCCTTGGTGTGGTTGAATGGGTCCTTAACAATTACCTGTCCACCTTGCTCTCTGCAGTGTTCATCTCTGCCCCCTTCCTGGTTTACCTGCCAGATGCAGGTGTTGCCTTGAGTGTCTCACAGTAACAAAACATTTTGGCATACCTACCAGAAGCCAGGACTGTATTTCAATAATTCAAAAAATTAATTATATTTTTTATATTTATAATTATTGATAACAATTTATCGTAATTGAATAAGCCTGAAATTTTACATTTGAATGCTTTAAAATACAATTATTTTACCTTTAAATTTATTTTGGATTTATTTGAAACATTTCAAACATTCAATAGAAGTAGGGAGAATAGTAAAATGGACAGCTTCGACAAATACCCACACTCTGCTAATCTTGTTTTATTTATCTCCCAGTTTTTGGGGAGGTGGCTGGAGTAATCGAAGATGAATCCTAGACATACTTTCACCCCAAATTCTTCATTATGCATCTCTAATAGATAAGCACTTAAGAAAAAAACATAACCACAATGCCATTATCACATCTAACAAAATTAATAATTTCTTAACATCTATATCAAGTCCACATTTTATTTCCCTGATTGTCTCAACAATGTCTTTTTAACAATTGGTTTACTCAAATCAGAGCCACACAAGATCTAAATATTGCATTTGGTTTACTAGGCATTTTAAAAGCTCTTATTTATAAGCACTGGACCTTCACATTAAACCAATGAAGAATGTGTGGTCCCAGTTCACAGGTTAGTGAGCTGGGGCTCAGAGAAGTTAAGAAACCTCCCCAAGGTCTCATTGCTGGTGGAGTCTAGACCCAGAGTTAAGGTCTGCCTAAGTCCAAAGATTTCCATTCTACTTCTTCCCCATCAGGCCACCAGAATTTTCCCTGTGTTGCAGGGAGGCAAGAGGGCTAGTGGTTAAGAGAGGATTTGGGCTCAGGCTGGCCTGGATACACATTGGAGCAAGTTATGTCATCTCTCTGATCCTCCACTTTTGTCTGCATCTGTAAAATAAGGAAAATGAGGATGGTTTGGGGCTGATTAAATAGGATAAGGCATGTCTAGTCCTTAGCACAGTGCTTGGTCCATAGAAAGCACTCAATAACTGTAGAGGAGGAGAACGAACCACAAAGGGTTTGTTTGCTTTTGTCGGTAGCTCAGGAAATGGTGGTTCATCATTGTTAATACAACCTGTTTAGGATTCAGGCTGAAGAGGTGGGGAGGGCAGGGGTAGGGGTAGGAGTAGGGTGGTGATTCTGCCTGGATTGGAGAAGGGAGTCCTGGACATAAAGATTTAAATAGGCATCCGAGGGCTTCTCCCCAGGCCTCAGCTGGAAAACTGGTAGGTGGCAGAGAGGGTGGGAGGGAGACTTCTCTACGTTTATTTATTTATTGTAATTTTATTTATTTTTTCCCCCAAAGCCCCAGTAGATAGTTGTATGTCATAGCTGCACATCCTTCTAGTTGCTGTATGTGGGACGCGGCCTCAGCATGGCTGGAGAAGCAGTGCGTGCATGCGCGCCCGGGATCCGAACCTGGGCCGCCAGCAGTGGAGCGTGCGCACTTAACCGCTAAGCCACGGGGCCGGCCCTCTACGTTTTTTAAAATTTGGAACCATGTGAATGCATTAAACATATCCCAAAAAATGAACTGCATTAAAAAGACTCTTTTACCATGGGGGTCAGTGCTGAGAATGGGAAGACTAGGATCTAATGATAATAATAATAATAATAATCCCTTTATACTTTTTGCAGCCCTAGGAGGGCTTCAGTTATACAAGGCAGGTTCTGCACCAGGATTGGGACTATTTCAGCCTGACTCTGATTTCAAAGATCCAAGGGAATATTTTAATCTCAGCTATCCTTCCTGTGACACTCATTCTAAGAGCCCAGAACCAGCGCTCACAGATTGGGGATTATTCACCCGGGGATTGTCTTCAAGCATACGCATTGTTGAAGGCTGAATCTATTGGCTAAATAAGGTCTTTGTATGTACTGTCTGTGCATGTATCGGCGCTTTCCCAGTTTTTTAGGCCATAGATCATCTTTGATGCTAAAATCACTTAAGACTCTGGGGCCTTGATTTTCCAGAGTCCTTAGGAAGGGAGGAGGTGCATAACCCCACTCACAAACAATCAAGAACTTGCCTAGACACTGTGCTAAGGCCTTTACATATATTAACTCACAATAACACTACACTCTAGGTACCATGATTCAGACTTTACAGGCAAAGAAACTGAACCAAACGAGGTTAAGAAATGTGCCCAAGGTCAGAGCTTGCAGACTAACCAGTAGGCAATACTACCTCTCTGTTGGCAGTGGGCCAAGTATGTAGGGTTCCTTTGAAGGTGACACAAGCGTCCTTGGCTGTGTAGCAGCCATACCTTGGGTCCCAAATCCTTCCTTCTCAGCAACGTCTGGTTTAGCAGGAGGAAAGACCAGTGTGTGAACTTCCGCATTGGCCCTGGGTAATTTACTTTCTCCCTCTTAGCCTCAGGTTCCTTATCTGGCCCAGGGAGGAGCTTCAGATGAAAGACCTCTCCCTGCATTACCTGTGTGGGTGTGTGCTGGGGGTGAGAGGTGGAGAGGCTGAGGTTTCTGGCCGGTGCGCTGCTTTTCCCAGGTCTCTTGAGGAAACCGGGTGTTTTGAGGTTCTGTCTCAGCCAACTCCCTCTCAGGAGGTCAACGCTCAAGCTTGGCTATTCCTCCTCTGCTGGGAACAGGGCCGCCACTGGGGCCAGCTCCGGCCACAGCCTGGCTGCCCGGAGGTCTAGGGTGGGTCTTTCTCCTCTGAGGGAGTTAGAGATGAGATTGTATCTTTAGGAAGGCTTCTTGGAGATAGTGACAGTTGAGTCCTGAAGGTCTAGCAGGAGTTAGTAAGAAGAGGTGAAGAGGGAAGGCTTAGCCTCCCCCCACCCCCACGCCACAGAACAAAGAAGCACCATCGGGCTTACAGTATAGGAGGAGCCGTGAGAGTGGAGAGGTCTGTAGAGGCGAAATCACGCGGGGGCTTCAGAGCTTGGCTTTATTCTAAGAGCAACTGGGAGGGGTTGGAAGGAGTGTAATCAGGAGTTTTAGAGAGACTCCTTTAGCCGCTTGGGAAGAATGGGTCCGAGGGAGGCAGGAGGCTATCACAGAAAGCAGTCGGGTTGGAAGATGACCGAGGACTGAGGGAAGGCGTGGGGGGCGGGGACTGAGCATCTGAGGCTTTCTCGGTCCCCGCGACACTGTGCGCTGTCCCTCGACTTTCTTTGCTCGTATGGAAGGGCCCCATAAAGGGCTGGGCACCGGCCAAACGCTCATTGAGCGAAATAGCCCAGACTTCCCTCCTCTTTCGGGGGCCTTCTGGTCCAGGTGCCCCAGAATTGGGAGGCTTATGCGGGAAAACTTACCACTGCTGAAGATGGAGAACCGTTACCCCTCAAAATACACAAAAACCTCGGCCGCTTTTGGCAGCATTCTCCCCCGCCCATGACCTCATGCTTTAAGCTCCCATATAGCCTTCCTCCGCCCTGTCCACACCCAGCGCCTGAATGGGGGTGGGGCGCGGGACAGTGGCGAAGGTCCGGATAGCGAAAGCACCTTATGTATCCCGCGCGAGATTTGGAGGAAGGGGCGCAACGATTTCCCTGCACTGAGAAAAAGCATGGTTTAACTTTCCTTTGAGAAAAAACCTCGCTGTCTTGTGGGCCCTCCATGAGATAGACGCCTCGAACCCGGCTGGAGGTGGTCTGTTTAGCCGAACCATCTTTGGTTCACGTTTCCTCGGACCAGGAAAGAGGTGTGGGGTCCCGGGCTGGACAGATGGGCGGCTGCGCCTTCGCGGGACCTGGGGGCTGTCCTGCTCTCACCCCCCTGGCGCCGCCGAGGTTTGAACCCTTGGCTCGCCTTTCAGCCCGCGCCCTGCCCCCTGCTCGCAGCTGCTCTCGGTTTGGGTGCAGCGGTTTCCCCCGCAGAGGAGAAGGAGGAGACAGCGCGAGGAGCGACTCCCGGCTCGGGTTTCCGCACCAATGCCGAGCAGCCCCGGGCGGCCCCCGGCGGCCGTCCCTCCTCCCCGGCACCACGTTCCACAGTCATGGCGCGCGAGGAGGGGCGAGCGCGCGCCGCGGCGGCACCCGCGCCCCCTTCCCTCCCCTCCCCTCCGCCGCCCGGCCCCGGCCCCTCTCCTAGGCAACCTCCCTCCCCGGCCTGCTGCGCCGCCGAGATGGAGACCCCTCCCCAGGGAGCGGCATTTCCAGCGCCGTATGCAGCACCCCCTCCCCGCCCCCATCGGGGCGGAGGGAAGGAGCCGCGCGCTCCGCGAACCTCCAGCTCCTTCCCCGGAGCCTCAGCCCCTCTTCCCAGCCCCACGGAGGCCGGGGTGCAGTGGGGGGTAGGCGCAGACCGTCTCCCCGCAGCCCCCCTAGAACTTGGCTTCTTTGCAACCCCTTTAAAAAAATAAAGAAATCCCCAAACCCTAGTCATTAGATTGCAAAGCGCGTTACAATAACCGGGACGGCTACGCAGGAAGCAATCCTGCACTGGTACGGGTCTAAGACGGCAGCTTCCCGGCCAAGCCGCTTCTCCGGGGCCTCAATTTTCCGGCCTCCCCGGAGAGTCTGCCACACCCCGGGGCTGACAGGTCCTACACGGGGCTGCAACTTGGTCCGCGCCCCCCACCCCATCCTTGAACAGAGTCTCGCCAGCCTACAAAAGGTGCAATCTCACGCACTTGCAGAGCACACAAATAAGGTCGGCAGCGCATCGCGGGGAAGGCTGCTAACAATGCGCAGGGCGGCCTGCGCCGGAGCGCGGCGCCCCGGGGAACAGGGGGCGCGGGCGGGGGCCGCGGCGGAGGACCGGCCGGCCGCGGCGCTGGACACCTTACTTCCTGCTTCCCCGCCAGACCCAGCTCTGCGGAGGGATATCTCTCCCCTCCTCTGTCCCTCTCTCTCCCTTTCCCCGGCCTCCCCCCTTTTTGCTTCTGCTCCCCCCCCACCCCGCCTTTCTCCTTTTGCAAGAAAATAATTTGACAGTCGATTTGCTGACAGGGGAGGAATTTGCATCCTGGATTAAAAAAAAAAAAGGCCGAGAGGAGCTTGGGAACGGTTGCTAGGGGTGGGTAATGGGTGAAAAAAGGGGGGCGCCGGGGAGCAGATAAGGAGGGTTAAGGGAGGGGGCAAGGGTGGGGAGCAATGCAAAAGGTAAGGCCAGGTTACCGCGGCTCGGCCCCGAGTGGGCTACGGCCGGGGGAGGGGCAAGAGATACATATGTATTTCTGTCTCCCTAGCACACCCCCTTCCCTCTAAGCGATGGCTGAGAGGCGGTGCATGCAGATGGGGAGTAAGTTTCCTGAAGGGGAGGGTGGATGCACGCGCGCGGCCCCGCGCTGCAAATTTCCACCGGGGAGGGAGAGTGGCTGGATGCGGAGAGTTTGGAGTTGCTTGCGGCGGAGGGCAGGAAGGGGAGCAGGGCCGGGAAAGGGGGCTGGCGGGCGCTATTTCTGGGAGTAAGTTTCCAGGATCAGGAGAGCCTGCACGCTAGCTCGCTAGTAAGTTTCTGGCCGGGGAGGGCGCGAGGGGAGGAGGAGAGGGAGGGGTGCATGTATATAGAAGGGGGGGAGGGGGGAGCAGATTTCCTGCGGGGAGGTTGAATGCATATGGAGAGTAGATTTCCTGGAGGGAGGTTGGAGGCGTAGACGGACCGAGTAAGTTTCTTGCTGGGGTGGTAGCAGAGGCGGTGGGTTGGTGCTTTGGAAACCGGGAGCTTCCTACCGGGCGTGGGGGAGCACGCTATTGGGTGGAGGGGGGGCGAAGGGCCAGGTTCCCTACTGGGGAGAGGGGCTTGCATCTGGGGAGTATGTTTCCTGGCGGAGCGATATTTGTTTACAGGCTGTGGGCAGTACTGTAAGTGAGTAGCGCGTCGAGAAGGCGGCTCTGACATAAATTAATATTGAAATTACTCCATCAGCTCTGCTCGCCCCCCATCCCACCCCCCAAGCGGAGACTGGTCTTGTCGGATTGCCCATGCACTTGTTGCAGAAACAGCCAAGGTAGGCAAGAAGCTTATTAAGTTTCATTTTTAAAAATTTAGTTGGAGGATGCTCCGTGAGAAGACGGGGGAGGGGAAGGGAAAAAGTGGGGGGACAGAGAAGGAAAAGTCTCCCCCCACTTCTTGACTTTCAGTATGTTAGCAGGGCCTTCTCCCTGCTTCCCTTCTTCCCTCGTCCCTCTCTGGGCTGCACGGCATCCCAGCAAAGGGGGAGGGGTGAGGTGGGTGCTATAATTGGCAGCGCCGTCTTGAAGGGTGGTGGTGGTGGGGCTTGCAATTGAAGGTTGTGATGTTATAAAGCCTTCATTCTTCCAGCCAAGAAACCGCAGGACCCTAGGGATGTGCCTTGTGGGGTTTTTGACATGATGCCTATGTGTATGTATATGCGCCTGCGGGCTCTTTGGGGGTTGGGTACACCCCAGAAGTTAAAGTGGCCACCCAGATGGGAGAAATGTGTAAGGGGGTGAACCTGCCCCTTCACTCCCCAACTTCACTTTGGGAGAGTGGGATGTTACTGCTGGTGGTCTGAAGAAATAGATATTAAAAAACAACACAAAACCACCCATTCACTGGCGGAGGCCTAGAGCACCTGGCGGGCAGCCTCTGGCCAGCGCTGGGCTGGAGCATGTGCGCCTGCCGTCCTTAGGTTAAAAGAAAATGACTTCTGGTTCCTCTGTGTGTCTTCGACTGGCCTGTTAGAGCCAGCTTCGTGGAAACTCTTCCCCAGACTAGACGCGGCTTTGGCAAGTGAACGTGTTGAAGCCGGTTGCTAACGGCATGGCCTGGGCCGTCTTGTGAAGTGAGGGCTTGGAAGTGATGCTTAGGAATGACGGGTCCAGGGATGGCTGCAGAGTCCCTTAAAAAATGCCTCCCGAAAGCCGGCCGGGTGCACTTTTTAGCAGGCCGTGGAGCAGAGCATTAAGAATGGAGTTTTAGTGTCCCAGTTGGTACCCACTTTCTGCATCACTTACTGTTTCATGAAAGCAGTCTGGTGATGGTAAATGTGGTTTTGATGCCCACTGGAAGGATAAGAAGTAGGAGTACTCAGTACTTAGCTAGTTAACCAGCAGTCTTTGCTTATCCTTGCCTCTCTTTTCCTGGTCTTCAGCCCACTACTGGTTTCTGCAGATGAGTTGTAGGTCTTGGCGGTCAGGTACCTTGATTATGCTGGGAGCTCTAACTTTGCCAGGATAATTTTAGCACCAGGGATTCAAACCCAGACATGTTTAGTAGGGTCAGGGAGTAAACACTAGGCATGTGGTTACCTAAAGTTGGTTAAGCTTTCTGCAATTCTTTAGACAGGCTCAATTCTAGCAGGGGGGAAAAAAGGGTTTTTTAAAAAAGATCTCTCTACATGCTGCTGATGGACAATGCTTTTTGTTCTTGCCTTCCTGTCATCAGATTTCCAGATTGAGAATTTGATATTTGGCAGCTTGAGAGTTGAGTTGGTTGGGAATTAAATATTATTGCCACTTATCAAATGTTCCTAACTAGGCATTAGTTAAACAAATTAGCTATTATTTTCCCCCCTGCTGAAAATCTGAGTCTGGTTGGTGTATATGCTGGGAGGGTAAACAAAATCTTTATGTGTGTTTATCCCTGGATAGTAGAATTATTTACATGCCTACCCTTGAAGCCAAGAGCAGTCATTCAGGTTTTTTTTCTTATATTTATGAGATTTATTTTATTGTCTTGCTTTGGCCATTAATCAAGTCACAGTAGCTTTTTTTTTTTCTCTTCTGCTGAGAATGTTCTAGTGGTAATAAAGGTTTGAAGGCCCATGAATCATAATTCATTCTTTTAAAAATATTGTGGTGATTGTCAGGATTTGATTTATAGGAATTGATACCAGGAGTGACACACCTCTTCTGGCCCCGCCCTTTTAGGCATGTCCATTTTCGCCAAAGGATTGTTTAGAAGCCAGCTTGATAGCTCAAAAAAGAGTGTTTTCCCTCTGCTTTATGGGCATTGAGAAGATTAATTTTGCAAGTTCCGTAGTAAACATGGGTCTTTTCACAGCTTGGTAAGCAGGCTTCCACATAGCAGGCATGTGTTAATATCACATAGCATTTATGTGAGCTTGCTGTGAAAACAGTTGTTCTATGAACTGTGTGGAAAGTACTCAGTTTTGCCTCCTTTAACCAACTTGGGCCTGTGGTTTTTGTAGAGGTAGGAGCTTTAATTGTAAAAGAGAGACTGTCATGTTCTTTGCTGCTTATATAATGAAATGTGTAGTCACAAAAACAAAGCTTATTTATAATATTCTTTTTCTCTTCCATTGATGGGTGGGTTGGTCATAATAATCAAAAGCATTGGTTTTTTTGAAAGTATAAGGATTCTCCATAAAGTTGATTAATCAAAAAGTGTTAAAATTGTCTTGTGTTCAGTAGTTGGGTCAGTTTACAGTATTTGTAAAGTGACAAAGAACTTTTAAGGTGGTTTGATTCTTCAGGCAGGGGGAAAAGGTCACTGAAAAGAATATTGGGAAGAATACCAATTTCTAGCCGTTTTGAGGCTTCAGGTTTTTTTTATCTTAAAAATGCATGGTTTGATCCATGAGTTTGTCTGTCTCTGACATTCTGTGACTCCGTCTTGTGGAGAGAGGTCTCAAGAGATCTCGACAGTCTCTTCCTGGGCCAACCGCCAAATTGCTTCATGGACTTGGGCGAGTTGATTAACTTCTGTTTTTGTCTTCTCATGGAGAGAGTGGATTTGTACCTTGACATTCCAAAAAGGACTCTTGAGTGGCTTGGTAATCTTGACCATCAAACGCAAGGAAATACTTATGAAAGTCTGCCACTGTCTTGGAAAAAAAATGCAAGGTTGATTCCCAGTTATATGTGCCAATAGAGAGTGGGGCCCATAATCCCAGGCTCCAAAAATAATTTGTTCGTCTTGGAAGTTTCCCCTCCAGCCAGCTGTTTCACCTGTCTAATTATGCTTGGTCAAGTCTAAGGTTAATTGAGCTGTTATTCCCAGGCAGTAGGAGGAGGTAGTCTTGGGGAGGAGTGGGAGACCAGAAGCCTGGTGTGGCTTTACCCACTTTCTGTGGAGGATTCATATGTGGGTAATTAGGATTTGGTTGAATATTTGTGATAGGGTTCATAATAATGCTATTGTATTACTGTCACTTCTGGGCTAGCATATATCTCACATGGGCATTTTTGGGGAAAAGCTCTTGATGTTTTTATTGACTTTGAACATTGACATGAAGAGTAAGGATCAAGACAGGTGGCTCTGACCCCAGGCAGTCCGAATGCTCTGAGGCAGTTGAATTCAGCTCATTTTATTTCTGACCTCATAAAACTGTGTGATTAGGGAGAATTAGAATCAGCTGGAATCTTGTGGCTTAATCATATTTCTGAATTTACGTGATGGAGGGGAACCAATGAAATGAAGGGGAAACTAAAACATAGTGGATTTCTTTTGTGGGGAGAGGGAGACAAGAGCAGCTGGATTCCAGTTATTGGCATGCTTTTCAACAAGGGCACTGTGGCATTTTAAGGACTACTATAGACCTGGTAACATGAGTTTGATCCTGTGGTTCTCTTAATAAATCTTTTCTTCTGGGTTAAAGAAAATGCGCAACAAAAACCCCCATGATATTTTCTAAGAATTTTTAAATTCTCGGGGCAGCTGCTTGTAGGGTTTTCTGGTTAATTTGGGTTTGCTGAGCAAATGGGTGATTTTTGCTTTTTCCGTGTGGAAGATACCAAGCTGGGGATGGGTGAGATATGCTGAGCTGTTGGGCTGTTGGTTCAGCAACATTAAAAATTTTTTTTTTGATAGAGAAGAAGGGGAAAAAGAACCTGTGTGCCCAAATGGTAGGAATAGCTCTGGGCTCGTGGAAGGTAACGGTTGTTTTCATACTGTAGTTGGATCTGGTTTATTCATTTGTACATTTGGTAGCTACTTATTGAGCACCTACTATTTGCTAGGCACTATGTTAAGGCTCTGGGAATGTGTTGATAATTAAAACAGACATAATCATCTCCCTCTACACCATCCTCAACCTCCCTCCCCCCAGCCTGCAGTCCAGAGAGGAGGCAGACATGTAAAGAAATATATATTGCAAAATGTGATAAATGCTCTGATGAAACCCCAAGGAGCAGTGACCTACACTTACTTAGCTACAGTAGCCCAGAAAAGCCACGCTGGGGATTGGGGCTGGGGGAGACAGAGAGCACCAGGCAGAGGGGGCCCTGTGTGGAAGGACTTTGGCTTTGGGGAGAACTAAAAAGAGGCACAGGTCGACAAGGGGGGAGGGAGAGAGGGCAGCATGAGATGATCCTGCAGGACTCTGGGCCTTGACAAGGTTTGGGTTTCATTTGAAGTGTAGTGGGAAGCCACTGAAAGTTTGCAGTGGGAATGACACCCTCTAACTCGTCTTTAAAGGGGATTGCATTGGTGGCGAGGGGCAGGTGTGGAATTGGGGAGCACAGTAAAGAGGCAGTTGGAGCAGGCCAGGTGAGGGGGTGACAGGAGCTGAATGGAGGGGAGCAGGTGGGTGATAGGTGCACGTTAGAGGTAGAATGGGCCGGGCTTGCTGATGGATTTGGTAGGGGGTGGGGAGGAGGAATCTAGGATGACTCTGAGATTTCTGGCTTGAGTAGTTGGGTGGATGGGTGGTACTGTTTGCTGAGATGGGGAAGAGGGAGGAGAGCAGAATCAAGCTCTTTCAGTTTGGGCACCGCTAAGTTTGAGATGCCTGTTAGACTCAGGGTGGAGATGGTAAGCAGGCAATCTGATACAGCGTCCAGCACCAGAGGAGTGGCCAGGCAAGGGAGAAAAATGTGGGAACCATCAGCCATGGGATGGTATTTAAATCCAGGAGACTGGATGAGATGCCCCAAGGAGCCTGTAGAGAGAGAAGAAAAGGCAGTGTGTGTGTGTGTGTGTGTGTGTGTGTGTATGTGTTGGGGGGAGTGTGTGTTAAACGTTTCATGTGGTTGATAAGGCCAGAAAAGTCACTCTTGGATTTGACAAAATGGAAGCCATTGG